AAAAACTACACTATAAAACCAAGTCTTAGTTATCAAAAAAAGTTAGTAGAGACGGGAGGATAAAAACTCATTTTATTTTTTTAATTGAAAATTTTTAATTGTTAAATGTTAATTTTGGTCTCTCAATTTTAATGTTTTATACAATTTTCATTCTTTAACTTTTTTATACACTTTTTTGTTTTTTAATTATGAAAAATATATATTTTTTATTATTTTGTCAGTTAATCCATTAAGTATATCTGAATTTATATATTTTTAACCCTCAATTTCTAATATATATATATTTTTTGTTCCTCAACTTTAAAATGTGTATATTTAGATAAATTTAATAAATTAACTGATACAAAAACAAAAAAATATATATTTTTATCTTCATGGGACCAAAAAAGTGTGTAAAAAATTTAAGAAATGAAAATTAACATAAAATTTTAAAGTTAAGAGACTAAATTGACATTTACCCTTCTTTAATTTATCCTAAGCATACCAAAAATCTCAGTCCACCAAACCATCGGGCACATTTTCGCCCTTTTATCTACCGTTCTACTTGTTTATTTTTGGCAAAACCTTACATATAGTCCCTCAACTTATCTCAAATTCATGAGAAAGCTTATAAAATTTTATTGAAACAATAAGTCCTTAAATTTGACTATTTAAATAATTTAACCCTTTTTACACGCATTTATACCTACATCAATACTTACCGGTGGTCAATGATATAACACTACTTTGTCAATGTAAATAAAGTATAAATGACATTAAATCTATTATAAAAAAATAATTAAATTATTTCAGATTACTAAGTTAAAATTTACTTATTTTAATAAAAATTTAAAATTTAATGAAGAATTTAAACTAAATTTGAGAACTTAATATAGAATTTTATCTTTATTTTCCCACTTCTGCTGGCCATGCCATTGAAGGTTGAAACTACAAGCTTGTAATAATATCATTTTCGAATAGAATAAGGTAATTCTAGATATTTTTTTAACACCTAAGCACAGTATGTAATAAAAATTTGGTTATATCCCTGATTCAGTCCCTGAACTTTTATTTTTGGACTAAAAATACCCTCGAACTAAAAAAAGTACTAAAAAAATCC